TGTGTGTAAAGGGCGGGGAAGAAGGCAGCTGCTGTGCATGAGCCCTTGGTATCAGCTCCTCATTTTTCCCCCCTCACTCCTCGCTCCTCCCTCCCTAAGTTAGATTCTTTACAATGTATCAACTTTCTCAATATTTCTGTTCTGGTTGTCATGTGTCCACTAATCTAACTTTTCTGTCCCCTTTTCCTTTGTCTTAAAAATCATTGTTGACTATTCTCAGGAGATTCCAGCCCCTACGCCTCAACCTCCTACCCCCCATAGTTTGGGGGATTTATTAGGAAAGTTAATAGGTTACCACAAGTCAAGATCAGAAAACACTACGGATACAGCACCTCTTCCAAGCCTTGCTAAGATGCATGTCTCTCTGGTCCTTAATCTCTCAGCCACGCAGCCCGCTTTGGGCAAGTGTCACAAAGGTCCTCATAGTGCTGATAAATCCACAAGGGGTACCTTGCTCTGCAAGCCGACCTCCTGTCTGAAGGCACTGAGCTGTACCATGGGCTGGCATCTGCCGCTCCGTCTCCTAATCTTTGCGGCCACCGGGATCCCAGCTGACCTTGGCTCTGCCTCCCGCTGGGCACGGGCTGCTCCCTCATACAGGTGACCTTTTAAAGCTGCACAGCACCCGGGGGTGATATTCATGATTTGGTGAGACAACCTCTTATTTAGTCACCGGGTGACCTCCGGGGCTAGTTTAGCTAGTCTCACGGAGTCCTCCAGCCTCAGCCAGTCCAGAGGCTCCGCATGGAGGGTTCTAGTCTGTAATCTACAACAGAAGGAAATGCCGCCCAGGCCTGCACCCTCATCGTCACAAGCATTCCTGTGCTTGAGCCCATTGTTGCAGCCACTGTGTCAGCCCATCCTGTAGCGGGCCTGCCTCTTTCTCGCCGCTGCCCCTCCCCTTTACTGAGCATGGTGGGACTGACCCTTCCTGACACCATGTCCAAAGTCTGTGAGACCCCATCTCACCATCCTTGCCTCGAAGGAGCATTCTGACTGTACTTCTCCCAGGATGGATTGCAGCTGAGAAAACTCACCGGGGAAGGTCCACGCCATCACCCCAAACCACCACCACCACGTCTACTATCCCAGTGTGTTTGGACCCTGTAGGTCCCAGCAGAACTGCCTCTGTGGGTTGCAAGGCTGGGTATCTTTACAGAAGCAGACACTCATGCCTTTCCCCCCACAGATGCCTGGGGTCGAACTGTTGGCCTTTCGGTGAACAGCCCAGCCTCCCGCACTCCATCACACCGCGGCACCGGAGAGCCTTGGTAGTTGAGTTACAGAGGACACAGTTAGCCTGCCCTACTCACCGTCCGCTGCCCTGGAGTGTGGCCCTCTCGGAGAAGCTGGCTGGCAGTTATTTGTGTCTGCCTTAGGGCCACCTCCCAGGCGTCTGGAAGAATCTATTACTTAGCTTGGTCATCGGAGATGAATGTGTACAAAAGTCTTGGTTGGCTGTCTTTTAGGACAAGTAGTGTTGGTTATCCACTGGCCAAATGCACTGGCTGGAGCCCGCTCTGATTTATAGAGACCCTGTACAGGGCTTCGAGGGCCATGGCTTTCTACAGGAGCAGACAGCCTCTCCTTTCTCCCAAGAAGCGGCTTGTGGGTTTGAACCACCGGCCTTGGGATTAGCAGCCCAGTGTTTACCCGACGGCGCCACCAGGGGTCGCTCTGTTTTCTAGTCGTAGACGTAAATTAAGAACACGGACTCCGGGCGGTCATGCGCCTGCTCTTCCCTGAGTA